TTGAATAAAACGAAGTCATTTGTCCCTCCTGCGGGTGGTCCAGCGGCTCCCTCCAAAGGCATCCTGAGCCACAGCCCGGGCTCTGCTCACGGAAGGGGGTGGGGGCTGCAGACCTCTCCTCTGGCTTTGATCTTCCCCTCCTGGCTGCAGAGAGCTGACAGTCGGCGGGGCTGTGCGGCAGCCCCGCTCGCATTTGTCAGAGGCAGGCAGTACACCTGTACCGCCGGCATTTACAACGCCTTGCTCCGGGTCGGCATTGATTTGGGACGGGTGAAATGCAAACACGAACTAATTAAACACTGCATAATGGAGCCCTACAGGAACACAAATAAAACAAATAAACACGAGTGCAGCTGGTGGGCGATAGTACCTCTGCCCCCAAGCAACCGTCTGGTGACATCAAATTATAAACACTGAAAACCCTCACACTGTTGCTGCTGATCATATTGGAAATGATCTGGTTCATTACGGGGAAGCTTTTAAAATATTTACGTGTGCACACGCACAGAATTCACCCCCTCCGACACTGGGCGCGGCACTGCAGGGCCGCCCCTGAGGCCCGTCCCTCTCCCCTGAGACGGCAGGACAGCTCGGGAGGTTCAGGAAGCTCCAGGTTCCCGGGTCGCACTTTGCCTGCCCGCCGCCTTGCGGGAAGCCAAACCCCCACTCTGTGCGAGCACTGCTCTGAGATTCTAACCCTCCGCGTCTCGTGCTTCTGGGCCTTTTCCTTTCAGTGTTTTCCTGAAGTGTCCAGGCGGCTCCTCTCTCAGGCCCCACTTGGCTCTGCCCCTCCCCCCAGACGATCCTTCTCTCTTTGGGGTCCTGGTAATCCAGCACGTTCAAGGCTCCCACTGGGCTGTACTCTCAGTCAGAAAGGCACCAGAGGCGTCTTTGATGTCCTTCCCACCACCCCCACCCGGGACGTGGGCCCGGGCTCGTCATGGCAGCAGAAAGGAGGCAGGGCACCGGATCATCACAGCCCGTCCGACCTCACCCTTGCCTGGCGCCCTTGGGCACCGGGTTACAGCTGTGCTCTCCGGAGCCGGCCACCGCTGCCAGGGGCTGTCTGGAACTCGCCTCCCTGTTGCCCAGCTGGGTCGCTTCCTGGTCCTGCTGGAAAAAGGCGCAAAGTCCTAATGAGTATTTAACAAGACTCATAAATCAGGGCGCTCATGTTGGGGCGGAGGGCCTGGCCGGGTCAGGGCGCCCAGCGGCCCCCCCCCCATCTGAAAACCAAGAATGGCCGTTTTGAAAGGCAGGTGAGGAGGCCGAGGCGCTGTCCTCTGTACCCACACGAGACGGGTCTGCGCTGCCCCAACCTTGGTGTTGACGGCAGGTCTCGTGTTGGCTCCAGGGAGTGGTCCGTCCCTGGGTGAGCTTTCTCCTCTTCTTCAGGCTTGCGTCCTTGGAGCTTCAAAACAGAGATGAATTATTTTGTAGTAAGTAAAACCGTAAGTGAGGATGCTATTTGGTTTGTTTACTTTCATTCTTATGTGAATATGATGAGGGTGGTAGGAGAGGATCAAAGACGGCCGTACTGAGAGGCTGGGGACAAAAACAGGACGCGATCTTTTCCATAACTGGGGTAGCATTTCCCTCTTATTTAGAAAACTGCCCCCACCCCCGTAACGATAACAAGTAAACTTTCCACCAGGCTTGAAAACCAATGTAACAGTCAACTTGGCTCAAACTCGCAGTGTTCCCCAACCCTGCCCCCGCCCCACCCGCACTCGCCACGGCCTCAGAGCTTTCTCTCTTCCCACCACAGCCGCTCCCTCCCTCCTAGCCGAGGCCGCACGCTGGATGGACCCCGCACACCCAAGGGTGCCCCCAGAGGCCCACGTCCTAGCCGGAGCGCGCCGAGTCAGGGCTCTCCGGCTAGAAGTCCCGGGTCAACTGCGGGGCCGCGCCGCCGGTGACGGGGGCCAACTGCCACTCCCCCCTTCATGGAGGTCCTTACGGAGCACCGGGGTTCCCAGACCCGAGCCGGATGCCTGCTTGGCGGAGCTCCGATCAGGCCGCGCAGCGACCCCTAGGTCTGGCTTTGCACCGCGGGGTGGCCCTGCGTGTCTCAGTGAGGACGGAGTGGCGACTGGGAAGGGAACCGCTCCCGCTGGGAACACCCTCCAGACCAGCGGCTGAGCCCGCCCGAGCCATTCCCGTGCCAGACGGGTCGGAGGCTGGCAGTCTGGGAAGCGGGTCTCTTCCCGTGTGCTTATCCAGAGCCACGCTGCTGGAGGCCATCGGTTTTCGAAGGCGGGACGCTGGAGCCCTACTGCGCGTCCCCCTCCAGGGCCTGGGGCGCGCAGGACCCGGATTCTCCCTCCTCTTTGCCCCGCTCCTCTCGGGCCAGCAGAGGGCTGGGCCAGGACTCTGCAGGGCTGAGCTGGTGAGCTGGACCTGCATGAAGAGGATATTCAAGTCAAGTCCAAGGTACCTGGTAAGAGCTTCTCTCTTGGCTCAGGCACCCTGGGCCTTTCTCCACCTTACTTAACCACTGGATAATGAAAAATGAGTAGAGGGCTCGCGGAAGGACACCGTCCTTGGCAAAGGTTAGCCATGAAGTTTTCAAGTCTTCTTTGCCCCTCCCCCTCTCCAATAGGCTACTTTGGAGGCAGTATTCTCAATGCTTCCTAGGTCTCTACGTGCAAGTTTTCTGGTAAAAGGACAAGGAGAAAGAAGGAAAGAGGTGAGCTAAGTTGCCCAGAGTCTGCTAGGATCCTAGCCCCTATCCCTGGGCAGAGAATGGCCACATTGGCTGCTCTGGCAGTTTTCCATGACTCCTTTGGAGCTAGTCTAGACCTTTCTAGTTGTGATTTCCTTCATAACTTGCTAATCCTCAGGCTGGTTTCCAGGTGGGTTTTTCCCACTGACTTCCCAGGTGCCTCCAGGACCCTACATGAATGGAGGTAATACTTGCAGGGCATGGTGGTGTGGCATGGCTGCATTGGTGAGGGTCAGAGTAGAGCCTGCTGCCCCTATCGCCTCCCTCCCCACCAGGTTCTGGTAGCTACAGTGTGACCCAAGTCAAGGTGGGCATTTGCTGGAAGGGGGGAAGGAAATGGTCAGTCCTTGTGGCTAGACCCTGACACCGGCTTACATTCCACCTCACTCCCCGGGTCACACAAGAGGGCTTATCTCACCTGTGTTTACCTGTTGCTCTGAAACATGACACTGGAGTTTGCTAAATGGGACAGAGGTGGAGCTAAAGCCTTATTTGTTTTGGATGTAGGGGAGAAGGAGTTTGGGGTGCTTGGAGGTGGGCTGGGGAGCAGGAGGAAGCTGTGGCTAGGGACTTCCCAGAGCAAGAGTGCCAAGTGCCCACCCCCGCCCCCAGATTCTGTCACAGCAGGAAAGGAGCCCAGACAGTTTCAGGAGGTTTCTGGAGAGATCTGGGGCTGGGGGGTGGGGGCGGAAGGTGGGGCAGCAGCAGGAACAGGACGAAAACCTGACTATGAGCAGAGAAGTTACAAACTCCTTATAGAGATGGTGATGGCTCCTATGTCTTATGTCTTACTCTTATGGTCGGTGGCTCTGTGTCTGCCCTCACACCCCAAAATGGGAAAACAGGACCCTTCCTGGTGCTGCGGAAGTCCCTGGGCTTCCGTGATTCTGGTAGTTAGTGTCCAGGGTGTAGGTGGCCCAGGTCACTGGCAGCAGAGCATGCTAGGTACAGGACTCAGTAATCAGCCTCAATCCAGCGGCTCGGAACCGGGCCCAAACCGAGTACGACATCGGAGTCTGTGGATGAATTTCCTACGGAGTCCGGTGTACCTGCTCGCGGCAGCAGGGAGTCCAGTGCGCTCAGTGCTCTGGCTGCCGCGTGGGAGGTGCGGTGCAAAGTGGCCCCAGAAGTCCTGGCGGGTACCCTGGGCTCACTCCCCACCTGGGCCACAGGGAACAAGCTCGCGAGCAAAGCTCAGGGGCTGCCTACCCGACCTGTCCGGGCATAGGGAGACGAGGAGGGCCCTAGAGTGGTCAAACCCTCCGCGAGCGGGAGCCAGCCCGCAGTGCCGCATCCTGACCCGCAGGCTCACTCTTTCTGCGGGGCGGAAGCTGGACAGAGAAGAGGGGCGTCCTGTCCCCATCCTGGTCTTGGAGCCGCCTCAGGCCGGCGAGCTCCACTCGTTTATTTCCTGAGTCTGCACGACTAGGGGACAAACGAGAGGTGCCCGGGCCCTGCTGGCTGCTCCCATGGCCAGGCTGGGCACCGGAATATTCCCCTCCCGCTGCTTTGATGCAGTCTGTAAAGAAAAGGTCTCTCGCCTCCAAAACGCTCTATCATAGACGGCATCTGTTTCCCACACCAAGTGGCTTCTCAGCTAGGGTTCCCTTTCTTAAAGTTTCCACAATAGCGAAAACCTGCAGGACTCGGCCACATCTCTCTTTTCCAAGTGCAGCAAGGCGGGTCATTGCGAGATGACTTACTACGTAGTGGAGGCCCCTTGGACGCCACGACCGCGCGCAGGTTTAGTGGCGCACGGAGGGCACCTGGTGCACTTCTGCCAAAGACATCCAGGGAAGTAAAGGAAGCGCCGACCAGTTACCGCGCCCCGGACCTCCCCAAAGGTGCAAAAGCAGGAGCCGATATGTTTTCGTGAAACAGTAGACACACTTCGGCTGCGAAACAGCAAACCCCGGTGTCCGACAGCTGTAAACCGGTGTCGACAGGTTGTCAGACAGCCGCGGGGGCCGGTCGGGAAAAAGCCCGCGGTCGCCGGGCCCGCACCAGCTGCCCCGCGGCTCCAGAGCGCACCGCGGGCAGAGGTGGCCCGGCCGGCGCGGGGCACCACGTGCTCGCCGGGAGGGGCGGGAGAGGCCGGCGAGGGCGGGCGGGAGTCTGGGAGGAGGACGGGAGCGGAGCCGGGGGCGGGGCCAGCGCTCAAGGGGATGCCAATCAAAGCATCAACTTCAAATTGTGTCTGAAAGCCCCGCCGCCGAGCGGAGGGCGGCCGGCACAGTCGGCGCGGGATCGCGGATCCGGGCGCAGCCGGGAGCCGGGCGCCAGCGAGCAACGGGCCGAGGAGCAGCCCCCGGCCCCCGCCTCCGGGCCGGCCCGAGCGCGCCCGGCCCGCCGCCCGCTCTCCACCGCCGCGCCTTCCCCCAGCCCCCCGCCTCCCTCCCTGGCCACTTTAACACTTGCCCGCCGCCTCTGCCGCCGAGTCCGCGGACATGTCCTTCCCGCAGCTGGGCTACCCGCAGTACCTGAGCGCCGCGGGGCCCGGCGCCTACGGCGGAGAGCGCCCGGGGGTGTTGGCTGCCGCGGCAGCGGCGGCCGCCGCCGCCTCGTCGGGCCGGCCGGGGGCTGCGGAGCTGGGCGCGGGCGCGGGCGCGGCAGCGGTCACCTCGGTGTTGGGCATGTACGCGGCGGCCGGACCTTACGCGGGCGCGCCCAACTACAGCGCCTTCCTGCCCTACGCCGCGGATCTCAGCCTCTTCTCGCAGATGGTGAGTGCGCCTCGCAGCTGCGCGCCTTTCTTGCCGGGGCGGCCTCTCCTCTCCGGCTCCGGAGCTCCGGGCACGGGGTCTCAGGCGGCTCGGCGCGCGGGAGGGAGAGCGGCGGGCCGGCAGAGCTGGCCGGGACGGGGAGCGCGAGCTTCTCTGCCCACGGGTCGGTGGCAGCGGGAGTCTGGGCAGCGCGAAGGGGCCAGCGGGCAATGGCACCGCCATCTCGCTCGGGCAAGCGGGAGGCCCAGCTGAGAAGCGGGGTCTCGGCGGGAGTCACGAGGCCGCAGGAGCAGGCCAGGGGCGCGCGGCCCACGCTGGAGGCCGGGGCCCAGTTCTCCCGGTGCCCCGGCCGGGCGGAGAAGGCGGGGCTCCGGTATCTCGGCCCGATTTTCCTGGAGTCCCCTCGGGCCCGCTCGCACGACCTCCGCGGCTGTGCGCTGGGCGGGAGAGACGTGGTTTCTGCCTCTTTGGCACAGCTCATACAGTCGTATCCGACTTTAAAGCCTGGTAGATGCTGTCAAAATCAAGGTAACAAAGGCGATCGGACTGGCCGTAGGGGTCTCTTAGTGGTGTGTGTGTGTAAAATTGAGATACCAGAGAAAATGAAGTTGAAATATTTTTTGGCGTCTAAAATGCTGTTTGCTTTGACTTTAGTAAGTTGCCAAAGTTTTCATTTCATTTGCACCGAAAGAAAGCACTTTTCTTCCCTGGTTACATAATGGAGGATTAAAGAAAACAGTGTCCCTGGGCTGAAAATAAATGGTGTCCGCTCAGTCTTAAGTCCCAGTGGGTGTCAGATGTGGGGTGGGGGCTCTTCCGGGCACGGGCCAGTCTGTCGATCCACACGATTTATTTTCCTTGATCTGGTGCAAGGTCGGGCTGAAACTTGGGCCGCTGGCGATCTGTGTGCAGGGCGCGGGGACCAGAGAAGCAGCCTCCTCTTGGCGCTGCTGCCGGCGGGATAACGCAGTTTCTGGTACCCCCAGGCTCTCCCCATTTCTCAAAGAAGAGACAGAAAATAAATACCCGCCAACCTTCGGCGTGCAAAGCGGCCGGTGGGTTTTCCTGTAACTTTTTCTTGTTTGGAAAGAAAGCCTGTTTCTCTGCAAGCAGCCCCAGCTGCCTTTCAGATCGCTTGCTGTCGAAAAAGATCAGCTCCCATTTTGTTCTGGCGGCTGGGATGCCAAGCAAGCGATGAGAGATTTACAAGGTATCCTTTCAGAAAGAATTCCCCGCAGAGAGGAGGTCTCAACGTCTTCTTTTCACTCACAAGCCAAATCATTAGAAAAGTGCAAAGTACATTTTGTAAAGATTAGGCAAAAACGAAATCTGGCCAAGGACATCTTTTCTCTGTGGCGTGGACCACCGAACTAATTATTCAAAGAAATCTTCTGTTCCTCACAACTTTCTCATAGCCCAGAACCCTCTTCTGCCAGTAGCAACTGGATGATTGTACATGAACAATTACAAATTTTTGCAGAATTTTTGAACGCAGATGTGTGCCATTTAACACCCCCTTGTGTTTGTGGGGGAGGAAGGGAGCTCCATGTTGAGACCCTGCTCCAGTGCAGTGCCATGAAGGAAGGCAGAGGCTTGGTTGTTTACTAAGGGGGTGCTGCAGAGAACCCCCCTCACGCACACACAGGTGTGTATGTGTTTCCTGTGGTCTTCTGTGGGTTCTTGGGAAGGAAGCCTAATCCCAAACTCAGACGCTAGGCCTAGATTTCCAACCTGGTAGGACTGGGGGGTTGGAAGTCAAAAGATAAAATTGTGAAGTGAATATCTGTCTGGGCAATTTATGGTAATAATGAGGCCTAATGAGGTTGTTAGAAAGATAAAATGTTATTTACCAAAAAACCTGATGGGATAATTTGACTCGCTGTGTTTTACTACCGATGATAAAAAGAATATTGATTGCAAATAAATCAGAGCCCCTGAATGCCTGCACACAGTTTGTGCTGCTTGCTGCAGATCAAAGACAAACTTCGGAGACAAAGTAGGAGCAGAGGCCCAGGGAACCGGTTCTGCACCTCTTCTCCGGCACTTCGGCCCTGGCGTTAATATTTCACCGGATAAGCCCTCCTTTTGTGTTTTTTTAAAACAAATGTTGGTTTTGTTATTGTTGTCCAGGATGACCAGGATTAAATTTTTAAATTACCTGTCACCACTCTAGACCTTTAAGTATGGGTGAGCCATTATATGCAGATTAATCTGGAAACTAAAGGGAGCCGTGCTTTCGTTTTAAATTGCTGGCTGTTTTGGGCCCGGAGAAAATCCGGTTTATTTTGTTTGACCCCCTCAGGGTCTGAGGGTGGGGGCAAGGGATCTTGGTTCTTCCCTTTTGGAGAAGCTGTTTTATCCGCCTAGTTAAAAGGTTTTCCCCTCCAGCTAGTGTGAGGTAAACTTGGATATCAGGCCTCTGGAGTTGTGGTGGGGGTGGGGTGGGGGACGGAGAGTGGCCCGGGGAAATCTAAGCGGCTGAGGCTCCCGCTGTGGCCTTCCACAGAGGCAAGGATTCTAGAACTTTTCTTGAGTGACAGAAAAGCCAAGATCCGTGGAAGCGCTGTTCCTGGAGGCAGCTCCTTGTCTAACCCCTCTCCCCAGTTCGACCACTGGCTGTTAACTGGGGCCTTTTGCTTTCCAGTGGCCAGGAGCGGCAGCCCCCCACTTTCCCTTGAGTTCTGGGAACTCATTTTTCTTTCTCTCTCTCTCTCTCCACCCCTACTATCTCCTCTCTCCATGGGCCCTGTGGCCTCAGGGCTCACAGTATGAACTCAAGGACAACCCTGGGGTGCACCCTGCCACCTTCGCTGCGCACACAGCGCCGGCCTACTACCCCTACGGCCAGTTCCAGTACGGGGATCCCGGGCGGCCCAAGAATGCCACGCGCGAGAGCACCAGCACGCTCAAGGCCTGGCTCAACGAGCACCGCAAGAACCCCTACCCCACCAAGGGGGAGAAGATCATGCTGGCCATCATCACCAAGATGACCCTCACGCAGGTCTCCACCTGGTTCGCCAACGCGCGCCGCCGCCTCAAGAAGGAGAACAAGGTGACGTGGGGCGCACGCAGCAAGGACCAGGAGGACGGCGCCCTCTTCGGAAGTGACACGGAGGGTGATCCGGAGAAGGCCGAGGACGATGAGGAGATCGATCTGGAAAGCATCGACATCGACAAGATCGACGAGCACGACGGCGACCAGAGTAACGAGGACGATGAGGACAAGGCTGAGGTGCCGCAAGCGCCCACAGTGCCCACCGCCCTCGCTCGGGATCAGGGATCGCCCCTGGCGGCCGCTGACGCGCTCAAAACTCAAGACTCGCCTCTAGGCTTGGCTAAGGAGGCCCAGGAACCCGGCGGCACGCGCCTGTTGAGTCCAGGCTCGGCAGCGGGTGGCCTGCAGGGAGCGCCGCACAGCAAGCCCAAGATCTGGTCACTGGCCGAGACGGCCACCAGCCCGGACGGCGCGCCCAAGGCCTCGCCGCCGCCCGCCAGCCATCCTGGCGCGCATGGGCCCCCTGCGGGCGCGCCGCTGCAACACCCCGCTTTCCTGCCCAGCCACGGACTGTACACCTGCCACATCGGCAAGTTCTCCAACTGGACCAACGGCGCTTTCCTGGCACAGGGCTCGCTGCTCAACATGCGTTCCTTTCTGGGCGTTGGCACGCCCCACGCCACCCCCCACGGCCCGCACCTGCCCGCGCCGCCGCCTCCACCTCAGCCACCGGTCGCTGTTGCCTCCGGGATGCTACACGGCGACAAGGCCTCGGCCCGCAGCAGCCCCACGCTCCCAGGTATGGCACAGGGAGCGTCCTTCTTGTCCTGGGCCAGGAATCCGGAGCCTGGGCGGAGCGTAGGGGCAGGGGGCACCGGCCGGGGAAGGGGAGGCATTGGCCAAGGAGCCCCGCTGAGCAGTAACCTTCGACGGCATTAGGGGAGCCAGGCCTAGGCCCCCCCAGGCTCTCCCGAGAGAGCTTGCTCCACAGCTTGTCTGCCGGGCGGAGGAAGGGATGTTTCTCTCCGGAGACCCTTCCCCAGCGGCAGGAGGGAGTGGGGAGGAGAAGGAGGCTTGCGCACCTCTGCCCCCCTCCTACCCCCAACAGGTCTCCCAGTCCTAACTTTCCCTCTTCCTCTCCCTCACAGAGAGAGACATTGTCCCCAGGCCAGACTCGCCGCCACAGCAGTTAAAGTCGCCCTTCCAGCCGGTGCGCGACAAGTGAGTGCTGTTTGCTTTTACCACTGGGTAGGGGAGGGAGCAGGGCCGGCCGGCGGTGGGATGCTGCCCACCAGCCCAGCGCGCGGGGCTCCCCGGGTCTACCCCGCTTTCTCCCCAGCCGGGAGCCGGGCGGGGCAGGCGACCCCGCCCCGCTTCGGTGCTAGGCGGGCTGAACCCGCGACTCCGGGTGCGGTCCAGCGTCCGTCTTTTGACAGTCCCTTTGCCTTCCTGTCTTGCTGTGTTTTCCCTGCAGCTCGCTGGCCCCGCAGGAGGGAACGCCGCGGATCCTAGCAGCCCTCCCGTCAGCTTGATTCAGGGTCTTCTTTTACTTTTGCGGGGGGAGGGGGGAGGAGTTCGGGAGGGGAGGGGTTGAAGGAGGAATTAAGACAAATACTTCAGACTGGTACAAAGGACAAACATGGCAACAACGTCAACGACTCCCATCCATCGCTTTCTGCAGAAAGGGGCTCGTCCCGACCGAGCTCGAGTCCAGGCAGCCGGCCTCCGCGGAGGCTGGGCTCCGGCGGCTGTCGCCGTGCTCTGGGTGAATATCGGTTCGGTAAATGCCCCCACGTGCTTGTGTCTCTTTTTTTCCCCCCTTTCTGTATATAGAGTGATTTCAGATTGTAAATAGCGCGTCAGCGAACTTGTCTAAATCATATATTTTTGTCTAATAAACTAAATGAAATGGTGCCACCGCTCCTGCTGCTGTGTGTGGCTGCCGGAGTCCCGAGCCCTGGAATGCTGGCAGGCCCGCGAGTGCCTGCGGCTCGCGGAGCAGAGGCCTCTCGGAAACTTTCCACCCAGGAGGTGGCTGTTTCGCAGCCATTCGGTTGTCGAATGTGTGATGTTGACTCTAGCACAGTTTCTTGTTGGCAGTTTGATTCTTAGCAACTCTTACACATGTATTTGGGACACCCGTTTCTCAGGACGTAAATGAGTTCGATTTCAGGCAGTTTATAAAACGATTTCTTCAAGTGGGCAACAATGAGGAGGGGGAAAAAAGAATTTCCGGTCGTGTCCCCTAAGGAGGACTTCGAATTTTAAATCAATTTCTATCTAGTTGTCTCAACAGCGCATCGCGGCGTCAGGCTGTTCGCGGGAAGAATGGAGATGTAATGGAGTATGAAATTTTGCTTTGAATGCACTTTTTAGTTATTTGGTTAAGTCAAACGTGGAGAAATTGGGAGACTTTTAAAAACTCTCCTGGCGGAGGGCAGGGATGCAGTGCGGGGGTGCTCTCCGGGCTTGTGAGCGGAGGGCTCCGTAGGGGTAGTTGGGACAAAAACGGGAGGAAGCTTTAGTCTCCCAGGGATTCCCCCATTGAACTGCTGCTCCCTCGACTGGGCGCGCCGAGTGATCGAACCCTGGAGCAAATAGCCCCCGAGGGCCCCAGCCGGGGCCTGCAGGCCGTTGGGAGCGAGGTGAGGAGACAACGCTGGCCGGCTCCGGCTTCGCGTGCGCGCGGGAGGGCCGTGGTCCCGGGGGCTCCGGGGCCGCGGTGCGCTGGGAGAGAGAGGGACGCGCCGAAGCAGCCTGCACTTCGAGCGGGGCGCAGACGACTTTGTGTTGGATTTGCGAAAACCAAGAAGGCAGACGTTGCCAAAACTGCCAGTGAGCGGAGGTGGGCTGCGGGGCAGCCTGCCCGGTGAGGAAGAGGCGAAGTCCCTGGCGTCCTGGAGGCCCCCTTCCACACCCCCACCCCGGACCTTCTGTTGGCCCTCGAGCCTCCTCAGGCCCCGGTCTGGGGCTGCGAGTGGCGGCGAGAGGCTCGGCTCTTTGACTGTGCCTCCTCCGGCTAAGGAAAGGGGGAGGCTCGCTCTGAAGACCAGGGGTCTGCACCCTACTCTGGTGCTTGTGTCCTTTTCCAGCCATCCCCGGCCCCGCCACGTCCTTTTGGATGAAAGGTCCCCTCCCTGCCCCGAGGAGGAAGCGCGTAGGACGCCGCCAGGGCCAGCTTGGAGGCTTGGCAGGTGGGGGTGAGCAGCGGGCGGGGCGTGCGGAGCCCGGGAGGAAGCGGGCAGCAGAGCTGAGCGGACGGCCGACTGAGACCGCGCGCTTCCAGTCCAAACGGACGTGCTCGAGGCGCCCTCTATGGGCCGGAAGCGGAATGTGGCCCTGATGCGGCTCGGATCTCGCTCCTGGGGCGTGGCGCAGAGTCTGGGGGTTCTGGGCCTTGGGGATGTTGTGGACGTTAGCCTCCATTTGCAGTATTTTTTTATGTGTTCTTGGGCGCCACTCACTTGTTTGAATGTTGGGGGTGCGGTGCCTGGCCTGCTGGGTAGGCTGACATTTGGGGGGAAGAAGTGGAAGCCAGGGTCTGCGCAGGTCGTTTTCATTGTCTCTGGTGCGCCTTGCGAGTTCAGAGAGGAATTCCTCGTTTGTCCTCCATGCTAGGGCTGCGGGGGTCACAGTCCTGGACTCCCTATTTCGGAGGTTTTGGTGACAGCGCGCATATTGAGAGCTTTGACCAGCAGTGTCCTACGTGTCTGAGGAGGAATCGGGTTCTTGGCCCCAGCACAAGCTACTTGGGCATCCAGTGTGCCGAGAGATCCCTTCTGGGTGAGGGCTGGAAGCAGAGAGGGGGATTTAGGTGGGCTGTAGAATCCTCTGCCCTTGCTGGCCTCCACTCTCTCTTATTTTCCAGACTCAAAGAGGATTGTCCATGCAGGTATCTGCTGCTTGCCCTGTAAGTCCATTTCTTTAAAATCCCATACATTCGGGACCCCCAGTTCTGTTGCTTAGGTGGCTGGGCCAGCAGGTGCTCCCCAGCTCCAGGCCTCAGAATTCAGTGGCCTAGAAGTGTGAAGGTCTGTGCTTCCTCCTGTGGACTGGAGATGCTTTCTGTACAAAGAAGTCAGATTGCCAGCCTCAGAATTATTTTTCTCTAAATAAAAGCTAGAAGTAATTTTTAATTGAGCATTAAAGAGCATTTTTTTTGTTCCTTGTGTGCTATTTGTTTACCTCTTTCCCAACCTCGTACCTACCTAGGAGTGCCTGTGCACACAGTGTTTCAGGTCCTGAGATATCTGGGAGTAGACATAGAAACCCTCTTCTTTTTTTTTTCCTAAAGCTAAAGCAGAAGTTTCTCTGCAGCTTTCTGTACATGCAAAAGTGTTGCCCCACTCCATCTCTGCCCAGGGACAGTTTCAGGGCCTTGCATTAGTTCTGTGACCTGCAAGGAGAAGCCTGAGCCCCAAAAGGAGAAGAGGTGAGCAATATCCACAGGATTAATGTTTGCACCTTGGGGCACCATCCTCCACACCAAGAAAGGACACCCTGTGTCCAGGACAGAGCATTTCTGTCTTCATTGAGTCTTCTGGTGGGAGAAAGGTAAGAAATCCTGTCTGGTGACCCTCTTCTTTCTGCTCCAGCCCAGGCTGGTGTCTAGGTGACAGGATCATCACAGCACAGTCCTTCTAGATCTGTTTCCCCTAATTCCTGGCCTTAGGATGTCTGGAGTGGGCTCAGGCCCTGCCCCAAATCCTGACCTGCAGGAGTCTCTGAAACCTCTGCTCCCACTATCCTCTTCTTCCCCCTCCGATCAATTATATTCCCCAGCACATTTATCTCGCCCGCAATATGGAGAATTCATATTCATATCTCGGTTTTAGTGTTCTGACACTGATTAATGTCATTCGCGCTGTGGCTCCGAGGGGCACGCCACCCGATGAATCATGCCCTATAAAGTTTCAGTTGTCCTTGTAGATGGGACTCTGTACCAGAGAGCTAGGAAGCCGGGCAGGAGTGAGGAGGGAGGGAGGAGGGTGGGGGGAGGGAGGGGGGAAAGGAAAGGAGAGACAAAGGCAGATTGAGCTCTGGTTCACAGGATACCCTTGGCCCTACATGGGGGTTTGGGAACCCTGGACCCTTTGCAAGAACCCTTCTCCCCACCTGGGCACTTCCATTCCAGTCCTCCCCAGCCTCTCTGTTTTCTTTCCTTCCAGATGGTTCCACAAAGACTAGTGGCTTCCTGACTGCCCCAGGCAGGGTCATGGTGGGCCTGGGGCTGCCAGGTAGAGATCATGGATTTATGGACATTGATTTGGGGAGATTGGAGTCCTGAATGCTCTCTGGAAAGTGATGGGGCTTAGTTTGCCAATAAGAATATGGTTTTGACCCTGGGGTCAAAAAGTTGGGGGGCCTGAAAGTGGGGAAGGAAGCCCAGCCCAAGAAAGGTTGCTGGGTGTGGTGGGGGAGGGGGTTGGTGACTCCTCGAAGGTTTGAGGTACTGGGTCTTGGGGATTTGGCAGTCTCTGCCCACCCCCTGTGCTGCGTGGGCCGTGTTGCAGGACCCAGCACTGTGATATGAGCCTGCTGGGCACTCAGGCTCCTGGCACCCCAAAAAGGAAGCTACGGCTACCCTATACTGTGCTCAGGCATTATGGCCCAGCAACTTGACAGGCTCAGGGTGTCCTGGGGAGAGCCGTGCCATATCTAGCTGTCTGGGCCTGGGCTCCAGGTATAGATGGTAAGCAGGGGAGGGTGTGGCCCTGGGTCTCCAATCCAAGGTGGGTGGACAGGAGATAGAGCTAGGAGATGGGGGCCTGTGTGCTTTGGGAGTGGTGGCAGTTTCTAGAAGCCTGGAGATGTCCCTGAGCCTGTGTGGAGAGTAACCCCCACCCTGCAACGTTTCCTGGGCTATGGCAACCCACCCTGGGACATCTGATAAATGGTCTGCAAGTGAAAACTCCCCAGCAGTCTGGATGCTGGATGTGGTGGCCGCTCAGCTGGGGTGGGAGAGCTTCACAGGTCTTCTCCAGCCCTGTGGAGCCAGGGTTCTAATTATAGCCTTGGAGCTGAAAGGCCTCAGAAGGTCATCCCGTGGGGACTGCTGGTGGCCTTTTGTGCCCCTGCTTCTGAAGCTGGGTAGAGATTCCCTCCCCTCCCACTAAGGACGACGGGCCCTCTGAGGGCATCTGACCTATTAGGTCAGCGAGCACTGGGCCCGAGGCCCACCATACTGTTAGAGGCCCACAAACATGCTTTAATTTCTTTTGAAACAGAAAAAAAGAGAACTTTTAGGTGGAAGACTATCTGTTAATATCTAATATCAATATATTCATCTTTATACCAACATGGTCATGACGTTTATTTTTTAACATTTGTTTACAATGGAGGAAGAGGCCCACCACCCAGAAAAGTCACCTTGAGGCCCAGGCTGAGAAGACCTCAAGGCTTTTAATGTTCTGGAATTGCCTTCAATGGGAAGTCAGAGATTCAAGGTGGCCCTGAACCTTGGAGGGGCCCGACCCATGTGCCTGGATGACCTCACCATCTCACATTCAGGTTGCAGGGAGCCATGCACTCCAGCCAAGTCTTGGGACACCCCCAAACTG